TTGCAACCATCTAGAAAAAACGTTATGTGTGTAATTTTAATGGTTAAGATTTATTCACTGCAGCTTAAGATTTACTCCTAGAATTTATAGCATCTAAGATTCTAACTCTTCAGTTGCCTCATAGATTACTAATTGAATCTAGGATTTTGCAGTTCCAAATATCTGCATGATTACAATTATAAGTATTATAATTATAGTACAAATTTGCAAAAGTGAGTCGATGACCCTACAAAAAGTCTCTTTTAATGCAGCTATTATAATTGCAATTACAATTCAAAATCCTTAAATTGTTGTAGTTATTAACTAAATGATAAAATATATATTGTGGCATTAAATATGCAGGATAAACATGTCATAATTGTAGTATTGGAGGGTAAACGTGGAAAAAATGTTTTACATATATGTTGACATTTTAAAGTAGTACAGATTAATGGAGTATTCATAAGAGATAAATCTTTCATAGCCTGACACCAAATAATTGTCAAAATTCGAATTCAGGATGTTTGAGTTTACTGTTCGTTATGTTTATCACTTAAACTATCTTGAGATTGGATAGTAATATTCTATTTTTTAATTAATAAAAATACAATATTTGTGTAAATTTTTTGTTACTATATTGTTTTTTCAATAACTTATTGCAGATTCTCCAATTCAAAATCGATGATCAAAATTAATGGAAGCATTGTCGCATGACCCAAGAAGGAAAAGTGGTTTGTATGAATTTTCTCTCGTTTGATTTTGATTTGTCAAGGAGAGGAAAGACTTGTAGAGAAAAGGTAGGTGGCAGTTGCCTTTCTTGTGCTATTTTGTGAGAACAATACCAAAACCTTCGTTGATCTATCATTATATTTACCAAATCTTGATTTAATGATTTCAGACCTTTTTTAGAGCGCAATTGAATTATTTGGACGGCAAATAAGCTTTTTTTTGGATTCAACAATCAGGAATGTCCGGATCAATGTACATACACCTCAACTAATTTTTTCTTTAGTCTGATCAAAGACAAGTCATTCACACCAAAACTAAAAAAGAAGCTTTGAAGAATATAATGTTGTCCTCTTACATTTAGTTATTAACGATATAACTACAAAGACATATATTCGCTTAATTGTCATAAAAATACTAAGCAGATGTGTTGGTGAAATTTTAAATAATAGAATTGGTGTCTTTAAATTTATGTCTATTTACAGGGATGTGGATGAAATTTTTCTAAAATTCTTAATATGACCATGCAAGGAAATAGATATAGATGGATATATGTGTCAACTTTGTTGCATACATTTTCAACGATTATGTTGTTTTTACAATAGTTTGTACCAATTTATGTGGTGTAATCAAATTGGATGATTATTGCAACCTAACAACACCCACTAATATGACAACCCTAAGAAGGTTGGTATGAACAAAAATTATAATTTAGAAACTTTATGTGGTGGATGAAGCATTACATCTAATTTAGAAACTTTATATTTCCACATTATATTGGAGACCAATTGCGTGAGAGCTATATGGTCTCTTAATCGAAATGCACTAAGCCTTGAGATTGGAAAATGTCTCTTCCGTAAAAGATAGTTTAAGTGATAACAGAGACGAGTTATAAATTTAAATGTTTTAAATTTGAATTTTGATAACTCCGTAAAGTTAAGCCATGCGAGATTTATTACTTATGAACACCTCAGTTCCGGTGTAAATAGACTGTCTTTGGCCAGACTGAGAAAAATATTAATCGATATAGGCTAAGTTAATCTGGATGACCATTGAAAAAAAAAATTGTCTCCTTGTTCAAAATTGTCTCCAGATGAATACCCATCAGCTGGGAAGTTGACCCATTAAAAACGAATGTACGAAAAAAGTCTTCGGGGTGTGCGTGTGCATGTCCATGTGGTTGTCTTCATATTTTGATACAGGAGGAATTATACATTTTTTATTCTCAAAAATTAAATTTTTTATATTACACCCTTAATATATTAAAAAATATTACAATGTCACTCATCTGTACAGGTGATTTTTTGCACAATAATGAGATAGCAGCACTTTGATTATTACTTAAGGGTAGTCTTTCTGTGTGAGGATGACAATAGACTTAGGGCTCACAAAAAAAAGGTAAGAAAGAAAGTTGGAGATGTCTTCGGCGATTCCCCTCTTATACTTAAGTTAGTTTCTAAAGAGGGAGTGAGACAATATTAAGTGTTAGGATTGGAGTTCTTTGTGTACCTCTCTCCTTTGATTAAGAGGGCTATTTATACCTTCCTAATAGATGGACATTCCCTCCATAGGATAGTTCCTAATAGAAGTTGGAGATGTCTTCCTAATAGAGGCTCCTTGATTGGTTACTCCCTGGGACAACAAGAATGTCTTGTTGACCTTGTCAGGTGATAGGGCATTGAGCCGGATTCCCCATTTGACCTCGATCCCTAATCTTTTTACACGCGCATTACAAGACGCGCATTGATAGCATTAATCCTTCAGCATCCGAGTTTCTACTGATTGTTAATTGCAAGATATGATGTTGGAGACTCTCTCATGCGGTAATAAATGTCCAGCACCACCTGACACGTTGAGGAGTAAATGTTTCATCTCTATTCTCCTCGGTGCCTTAATTATTTGTCGTATGCTTGTGAAGAGCATTTATTACTAGCTATAATAGTCTCAAGGGCCTCTCCATGATTGGTTGTAGTGTGTTATCATGCCTATTCTGGCAGCATGGAGTAATTGATCCATGCTTGCTGAGAGTTGAATACGAATCCTTGTAAATCGTGTTCCTCGTTTATTATCAAGTAGACATTCACAATGTGTTCTCAGTGAACCAAGCTTGCCAAGTGATGTTACACCTGACCAAATGTCATCATCTCCGAGTAGCTCTCTCCCGAGTGATGTCACATGCGCTCAAATGACGTCACCCTTCGAAGGGATTCTCACCCTTCATTATTATAACTTATCCCCTGTGTGACGTCACATAACCCCGAGTGACATCACAATTCCGAGGGGACTCTGTTGTCTTTTCGTCGTTATTACTCTTCTTCTAAGTGACGTCACCTGTATGCCGAGGTAAAATGCCACATGTCCACATCTGATTGGTCTAACATGTCTTGTCTCATCACCTTCTATTAATTTTCGTTTCTTATTCCATCAAAAATTATATGATAGATGTTGACTGAATGAAAAACAAAACATAAATTTAACAGATAATTACATAGTAAAAATGTCTCTCTGTTTTTTTTTTTTATCAAACTTGACTGTCTAGTTTAGTAAGTGTGCGAATTTTTTAAAATCTGCATTCATCTTTTGCTATATTCACTAAGAGTAATGCTATACAGATCGTATTTGGAGACCTTATTTAAGTACCTAATTATTATTAAGTCCCTAAATAAGGTCCAAATAGTAATTTTCATTTAATAATGTTGAGCATTTTTCAAAAAACATGATGACCTCCCCATGCACCCCAAAAAATGAATCTTCTCCACAACTTTGTGATTTATGTAGCCTATGAAATGATCTCTTTGTTGGATGCCGGGGCTTATTATGGGAAGACATAACCACCGCCCAAAGACATAAATCAAAGAAAACTTATCCTAAACAGAAGAATAAAACTTTTCCATGGTGAGATGGGGAATAAAACTTGAAAAAAAAAATAATAAAAACCTTCATATCAATATCAAGTATTTTGTGTCGCAAACAAATAATAACCCTATTGGATAAACTTACAACATCATGGAACCAGAAGAAAAACTTACAACTCACAACCCAAAAAAACAGAGGGAAAAACAATCACCGCCTACGAAATAACTAAAATGTAAACGAAATAACTAAAATGTAAAAGTGATCGAAATGAGATGGAAAATTTTTTGTTGAACATTTCCAGAAATACCACCTATTTGTTTGTTTATCGGATTTGGCACTTCTTCAAGTTAAAGTAGAGTAAAATAAAGTAATAAGAATATGAATGTAGGAGACTAATCAAAAAGAGAGAAAAGACAAAAAAAAAAAAAAACTTACATGACCGTAACACAGTTGAAAGAACATCATGTAGGTTTTATACACATTCTTGTCATTGAGACCTGACCATAGGCCTCCAATCACAATTGAAAAGGTGATGAATTGATCAATTAACAGAAAGCCCATATAAAATAAACACCACTTAACAGAAAGTCCATGCAAAATAAACAACATATGAAATTTAACATAACAAAAAGGCAAAAAATATTGACAGAGATTAGTCTTATTATTATTTTTATTTATGTTTCGTTTGGTAGGTAGGATGGAAAGTAGGAGAGATACACTTTCTATCATTGAAGGATGAAAAATAGAAATGATATATTTTTCTTTCTTTGTGTTTGGTTGGATAGATGAAAAATAAAAATGACTAATTTTTTTTTGTGCTGATTAAAATTAGGGATGACAATAGAGTTGTGTCGTGTCAGATTCGTGTTGACTCATAAAATTATGAGTCATTTATATTTCTTATTCACGTGTCACATCATTTTGAAGTTCGTGTTGAGTTATAATTAAGTTCGTGTCGAATTTAAGTCGTGTTATCGTATTGAGTTGAAAATTTTTACACCTAAATAAGATGAATTTTTTTTTTAATTTAAAATTTTTATTTTATTATTAAATTTATTTTTAATTTTTTTAAATATATATATTTTTTATCATTGTATTTTTATATGAAATTAATGTGTACATAATATATAGACAAATAAGATACATATCAACACAAATAATTAATTTTTCATCAACTTTCTTTTCGATTTTAAAAGGATTGATTTTGGTGAGTTAGAAGAAAAATTAATTTATCAATTTTTTTATCTTTCTTATTTTTAATCTTTATCAAACATGATATTTTATTTATCTCTCTAACTTTCTATCATTTTAACTTTTCAACCTTTTATTTTTTTTTCCCGTACTTAAACGGAGCATTAAACTTTTGACCCCGAGATTTTCATCCTCGCATAAACGCATCAAACGCCCATCAACCGACTTATTTTTTGTTTTTTTTTAATCTCAGAAGGATCCATTGGTGTTTTATAATCACTAGAAAAATTTCCCCTCAGAAAATAGGTAGTTATCAACATCATAGCCTCCAATCAATCAGGAAATTCTATCAAGACAAGGAAAATAAACCACAGAAAGAAATTCAGAGAAAGAAACATAAAGAGAGAGAGAGACCAAGGCGGCTGGCTGCTTCATTCTTTCATCGGCATCTGGAGGTGCAAATTGTCTACCCATCACCGACTTATGACTGTCTATAAACAACGCCATAAGGCTAAAAAATCGACACTATGACGAACGTCTCGCTTGGGATGAGTCGAAGATCACGAAGAGACGGACGCTTCATCTTCTCCGAATTCAGGTAAATCCTCAAACTCTATCTGTGAATTCAATCCACACACATATACACAAACTGATCATCATGGTATTCATCAAATCACCGGATAATAGAACCCTAGCTCTAGAAATCAACCCCTACTCAACCTCGCTCCAAACCCTAACCCATCAGATACAACAAAAATTAGACCTCCCAATCTCTCTCCAACGTCTCTATCTCTCCTCTCGCCGTTTAGTCCCCCAAAACGATGCCGTTTCTCTGTCCTCCCTCGGCGTTGAACACAACTCAACCCTAGTTCTCCACATCCCACTCTTCGGTGGTATGCAAGCCCCTGTGGCACCCAAAGCCAGATTAGAATTTCTCAACACGAGGCCCCCACCGAATTATGTGGCCGGGCTGGGCCGTGGCGCAACTGGCTTCACCACCCGGTCCGATATCGGTCCTGCACGTGCTGCCCCTGACCTTCCCGACCGCTCTGCCGCTGCAATCGGTGCTGCGGGAGTTGGCCGTGGCCGGGGCAAAGGCGGCGGAGAAGAAGAAGAGGAGGAGGAAAGTGAGGAGAAAGGGTATGATGAAAACCAGAAATTCGATGAGTTTGAAGGGAATGACGTTGGTTTATTTGCGTCTGCGGAGTATGATGAAGATGACAAGGAGGCGGATGCTGTGTGGGAGGCTATCGATAAGAGAATGGATTCGAGGAGGAAGGATAGGAGAGAGGCTCGGTTAAAAGAAGAGATAGAAAAATATAGGGCTTCGAACCCAAAAATTACTGAGCAGTTTGCTGATTTGAAAAGAAAGTTGCTTACAGTGTCACATCAAGAATGGGAGAGTATACCCGAAATAGGGGATTATTCTATGAGGAATAAGAAGAAGAGGTTTGAGAGTTTTGTGCCGGTTCCTGATACTCTTCTCGAGAAGGCTAGGCAGGAACAAGAGCATGTCACAGCATTGGATCCAAAGAGTAGGGCAGTGGGTGGGACTGAAACTCCGTGGGCTCAAACTCCCGTTACTGATTTAACTGCTGTGGGAGAAGGCAGAGGAACTGTGTTGTCGTTGAAGTTGGATAGGTTATCGGATTCGGTATCGGGATTGACTGTTGTTGATCCAAAGGGATATTTGACCGACTTAAAGAGTATGAAGATTACTAGTGATGCAGAGATTTCAGATATCAAAAAGGCCAGGTTGTTGTTGAAGTCGGTTACTCAGACTAATCCAAAACACCCGCCTGGTTGGATTGCAGCCGCGAGGCTGGAGGAGGTTGCTGGAAAGATTCAGGTTGCGAGGCAATTGATAAAGAAGGGGTGTGAGGAGTGTCCGAAGAATGAGGATGTTTGGTTGGAGGCATGCCGGTTGGCAAGTCCGGACGAGGCTAAGGCGGTGATAGCTAGGGGAACCAAGATGATTCCCAATTCGGTGAAGTTGTGGATGCAGGCTGCAAAATTGGAGCATGATGATGCAAGTAAGAGTAGGGTGTTGAGGGTGGGGCTTGAACATATATCTGATTCTGTTAGGCTTTGGAAGGCTGTTGTGGAGCTTGCTAATGAGGAGGATGCAAAGGTTCTGCTTGAGAGAGCTGTGTTTTATTGTCCATTGCATGTGGAGTTGTGGCTTGCGCTTGCGAGGTTGGAGACCTATGATAATGCAAAGAAGATTCTTAATAGGGCAAGAGAGAAGCTTTCGAAAGAGCCGGCTATCTGGATAACTGCTGCAAAGTTGGAAGAGGCTAATGGGAACACTGCCATGGTTGGGAAGATTATTGAAAGGGGTATTAGGGCTTTGCAGAGAGAGGGTTTGGTGATTGACAGAGAGGCTTGGATGAAGGAGGCTGAGGCTGCTGAACGAGCAGGATCGGTTGCAACATGCCAGGCTATAATACATAATACCATTGGTATTGGAGTGGAGGAAGAAGATCGGAAGAGGACGTGGGTTGCTGATGCAGAGGAGTGCAAGAAAAGGGGGTCCATTGAGACTGCGAGGGCAATCTATGCTCATGCTCTTACTGTATTCCTAACCAAGAAGAGTATATGGCTCAAAGCAGCACAGCTTGAGAAAAGTCATGGGACAAGGGAATCTCTCGATGCCCTACTTCGTAAAGCAGTTACTTACAGGCCACAGGCCGAGGTTCTATGGTTAATGGGTGCGAAAGAGAAGTGGCTCGCTGGTGATGTGCCTGCAGCCCGAGCAATTCTGCAGGAAGCATATGCTGCCATTCCCAATTCTGAGGAGATTTGGCTTGCTGCTTTTAAGCTTGAATTTGAGAACCATGAGCCTGAGAGGGCAAGAATGCTTCTTGCTAAAGCCCGAGAAAGGGGAGGCACGGAACGAGTCTGGATGAAGTCTGCCATAGTGGAGAGGGAATTGGGGAACACCGAGGAGGAGAGGAGGTTGCTTGATGAAGGGCTGAAACAGTTCCCTTCATTTTTCAAACTGTGGTTGATGCTTGGTCAATTGGAGGAGCGACTTGGTCATCTGGAGCAAGCCAAGGAAGTGTATGAGGTGGGTTTGAAGCACTGCCCAATTTGTATACCTCTGTGGCTTTCACTTGCTAGCCTAGAGGAGAAGATGAATGGCTTGAGTAAAGCTCGGGCTGTTCTCACCATGGCTAGGAAGAAGAATCCTCAAAACCCCGAACTCTGGCTTGCTGCAGTGCGAGCTGAATCTAGGCATGGCAACAAAAAGGAATCTGATATTTTGATGGCAAGGGCATTGCAGGAGTGCCCCAATAGTGGTATTCTATGGGCTGCTTCAATTGAGATGGTTCCTCGTCCTCAACGGAAAACCAAGAGCATGGATGCACTCAAGAAATGCGATCATGATCCCTATGTCCTTGCAGCTGTGGCCAAATTATTTTGGCATGACAGAAAGGTGGACAAAGCTAGGACTTGGCTCAACAGAGCTGTGACTCTTGCTCCGGATATTGGAGATTTCTGGGCTCTGTATTACAAATTTGAACTTCAACATGGGACTGAAGACAACCAGAAGGATGTATTGAAGAGATGCATCGCCACAGAACCCAAGCACGGCGAGAAATGGCAAGCAATGTCAAAGGCTGTGGAGAATTCCCACCAGCCAACGGAAGCCATTTTGAAGAAAGTGGTGGTTGCACTTGGGAAAGAAGACAATTCTGTTGAGAATAGCCAACGCTAGTTGCCCATTGGATTTCCATCTAGGTCGTGTTTTGGTAAATTGGTCTCACATTGCTCATATTCAATGTCCTTTTTATGTACTATGCAAACATTCCTCTTGTCCTTCAGTTTATTTAGATGAATGTTTAGGAGATCTGTATGACTGAAATTTGATTTTCAATCGTGACTTATGGTATTGTTAGAGTTTTTGCTGTGGAGCATTTTTTGATTTTCCTTTGTTCTCTAGCTTCAATTAAAGTTGTAGTGAACCTAATTGATATTGGGTCTGTTTCTTGGTTTTCGATTCAAGTAACTTTGTTTCAAAAATGCTCTGTTTTGCTTTGTGCACGGTGCAGAAAATAATGCTCCATTCAATAGGAAAAGCTATCGAGTTGTTTATTGTAGAGTTTGGCTTCTTAGTTGTATATGAAGGTTGGCAGTAATTTATTTGAATTTTTAGGATCTATTAGGAAGATTTTCTGCTGATAGTCGTAGTCTCATATTTAATGCATCAGACTAGCATTATGATTTATGTTCTTAGTTTCTTTGGGCCCTTGCTATCCAACTAAGGTGGGGGGGGAGGGTGACATCTATGACTAAGTGATGCTAATGGGATCAAAATCGAAATCTTGAAATTATTGAATTTGAAAAACAAAGTAAGATACATTGAACCTCTAGAGGTCAGTTTTGTCAAAACTACAATGATATTGAAAGTGGTTCATTTTTCTTATTTCTACTGGATAGAGGAGGCCTTAAGAATGACTTCATTTGCATATACAAACGTCAAATTGTTGGGAACCAAAAGAGCCCCAAATTTTACTCTTTTTTTTTTTTTTATCAAAGGGGTCTTCTATTTTGTAATTAGTAAAAATGTTTATCAAAATGGTTCATCACAAAGCTCTTTCATTTTACAGTTTCAGGCATAATATCGAGCAATGCTGCATAGAACCACTGCTTGGCACCATTTACACTTTTATGCTTGTTGATGCTGTGCTTTCTATTGGCTGTTACATGCTATTTTTATCCTTTGTGATATCTGAATTTTGATTAGAAGCTGAGCCATTTCTTATGCTTTATCTGGCTGTTCGTGTTGTTCAGGGAACATGATGTTTGGTATGTTGTAGCCATTTGCATGATTCATTTATAGAATTGGGCTGAAGCAATTCATTGACTCTATTCCTATGCTTAGTGCATTAGTACTTGTCATGATTCCTGCTCAGGAAACTACGATGGGTTTATGGGACACAACTTGGCATTGATAAGTCAAGGCATTGGATGTTCTACCATTTGGAAATTTTGTTTTACTTGAACAGTAATCTAATGTTTATGCGTGTAAACAAAGCAGAAAAGATGGATTAGTTGGCTTGAGCTTGCTTCCCCCAGATGCCCAACCTTGGTCTAACTTACAAAGGAGTAAAAACCTCAGTGATGTTGCCCTCTGATAGATATCTTGATCAGCTGGGATGCCCTAAATGGGGTGAAATGCAGTATCCTATTCTTGTGCTTGTTTAGGAATCCGCCTCTCCAAATTGGAGTAAGGTTGTCTATCACTTACTGCTTTAGAATCCAGCTTTAGGGGTGGGAGTCTTGTGCATTAGTTACAACCAGTTATCATTGTAGGTTTCTCTGTTTTGGTTCTATTTTGGTTGCAAATTTCCTACATCTAATAGGATTCTGCAAGTGCAGAACAGGTTGTTTGATTGCCAATGAAACAAGTAGACTGCATATTATGTTGGTAGAATATTTAATTGAACATACAACATAGATAGACAAACGACATAATGCCTAAACATGAATCAACTCTGAACTTGCGCAGGTCCTATCTATTGAGTGCCAGAACTACTCCACTGGTGGTTTAGAAGGGTACTTCACTACACTGTTCCTTTTTCTCATCTGAAAATGTGACATTTGTGATTAGTATGGAAATACGTCTATGAATATTCATCCAATGCCTACTTGGTAAGCAAAAAAAGCTGACTTCCGATTATAAGAAGTTCCATCTTTTTGAAACAAGAAATACATATTTCATACACACGATATTCACAGGGTACATCTTCAAGACTTCAGCCATATAACATTTATGCCTTTTATCAATAACCTTAATGATGTTCAGGTTGGGCTTTTATTGGATAAAACACAGTATTCCATTCAACATAGAGAACTCAGAGATTAGCAACAATATGGAGTTGCAGCAGCAAGGAGAGGAAGTTTCTTGTGGGCAGTCATACCAGTGGATTCAGTCATCCATATTCTCGCCCCTTTCTCTTCCAGGTAAGGCAAAATCAAACTTCCACACTATTTTAGCTAATGCCAGCTCATTGATGGCTATGGCAAATTGGACACCGGGACATATCCTCCGGCCAGCGCCAAACGGAATCAACTGGAAGTTAACCCCCTTGAAATCTATAGAACAATTCAAGAACCTCTCTGGACGAAACTCCTCAGGTTCTTCCCACAGTAATGGGTCTCATCCAATAGCCCAAGCATTGATTATTACTTGTGTGCCTGCTAGAACATCATAACCCAATATTTTGACATCTTCAGTTGGAAGTGGAATATGTAACCGTAGAGTCTGTTTGATTACTCCATTGAAGGAGTGCATTTTCTCTATATCATCCTCAGTTATTTCTGATTTGCCACTAGCTATTTCCCTCACCTCATTCTGTAATTACTTCATGACTTTCCGGTGTCTTAAGAGTTCTGTCATGGCCCACTCTAGGACTGTGTAAGTGGTATCAGTTCCTGCAACAAACATATCTTACAAGGATAGAAGAGGTTACATTTTGAAGCCTTTTCTCCATACCTACACTATTAATAAAGGAAGAGGGGTGTTCTAAGCAAAATGTTCACGAAGTCCATCTCTTTGCCTTCAACACTCTCACTATAACAAGAAATCACCCCTTTTTCCTGATTCATGTGCTCTTGAAGTATAGTCTCCAGATATTCATCACTCTCTTTTGCAACTATCTCCACTTTAGCATCCAAACCATTGATACAATTCACCCACCCGAGCCAGGGGATACAGTCCCCCACATTGAAAACATCCAACAATTCTCCAAACTCCTTCAGCAGCACCTTAATCTTCCTATTTACATCCCCTACACTGTACTTCCTTCCTAATGCAACCCTGCACACCACATCGTTCGTAAGCAACATAAACATGTCGCTAAAATTTATTAATGAAGACGAAGACAACGCCTCTCTGATCTTCTCAATCAAAAGGTCTGTTTCTTCTTCTCTCACTTTTCGAAATGATTGAACTCTCTTGTGACTTAGCATCCAAACCATTGATACAATTCACTCACCCGAGCCAGGGGATACAGTCCCCCACATTGAAAACATCCCCTACACTGTACTTCCTTCCTAATGCAACCCTGCACACCACATCGTTTGTAAGCAACATAAACATGTTGCTAAAATTTATTAATGAAGACGAAGACAATGCCTCTCTGATCTTCTCAATCAAAAGGTCTGTTTCTTCTTCTCTCACTTTTCGAAATGACTGAACTCTCTTGTGACTTAGAAGCTGGAGCACTGCAATGCTTTTTACCTGCCTCCAATACTCGCCATAAGGAGCGAATGCTATGTCCTTAAAGTTGTAGAGCAGTGTACTAGGGATGCTTGATCTAGGCCTGTTTGAGAAGATCCGATCATGGGTTTTCATGATCTCATGAGTTGCATCAATAGAGGAGGCGACAAGCACTTTTACACTGCCAAAACAAAGCAGCATGAGAGGACCATGTTGTCGAGCTAATGATTGAAGTGACCGGTGGGGGTATAACCCGAGTTGGTGAAGGTTTCGGATAATTGGGAGCTTGGGGGGAGATGGTGGTAGGTTTCTGTGGGTGGTTGGAGTTGTGGACAACCATTTGAAAAGAAATGTAATGAGAAATAACAAGGGAAAAATGCAGAAGAATGATGGTTGCAATAAGAACAGTATTGCTTCTGGCCCCATGTGCAGGGAAGAGCTAGATAGAGTTTTGTGAAGATAGTGGTCCTTTTATCATGTTTCCTAGTGCTAGAAATCGTGGTTCTCCGCATTAGGAACAAAACTACTCTTGAAGTATAAATATTTAAGCTGTTTTCTCTCCAACAATTTTAGATTTTGGTATAGATGATTATTTAATATGGTATCAGAGTTGGAAGTTTTGTATTTGAATCTTGTTGCTATTCTAATTATTACAAAAAAATTTCACTGTGTTTGACCTAAAATTTGGCTTGTACCTCTCTAACAATTTAAGCTTTTGGAAAAGATGATTGTTTAAGAGGTAGATTTGGTAAGAAAGTCTACATTACCCTAGAAAAATCTTACAAGTGAATCCACTTACTACTTGCCTTATTGCTTGAGGACAGAATGTAGACGTTTAGGTCAAGTATGAACTAGAACTAAAAAAAGAATTACCACTAGAACACTTGGATAAAAATGGTATTTTCACATGAGAATTAGGGTTCATACAATTGAAAAGAGCATATAAATTAGAAACTATAATTTTTTATTTTCATTTTATTATACGGTTTTTAGGTTTGCGCCGATTACTCCCTCGAGTTCGGTGATTGACCACTGTGTCGTGTAACATCAACTTAACTTACACAGAAGAGGTGATTGATAGAATTCCATTGATTACCAATTTTAGCAGTAGGAATTAGTGCATCAACTTCACACACGAGGTTGATTGTTTGCATTTCTATTAAAGTCCAAATTGAGAAATTAGAAAGTATAAGGAGGCACCATATCAACTTAATTTACACAGAAGAGGTGATTGAAAGAATTCCCATTAAAGTCCAATTTTAGCAGTTGAACATCAACTTTTACACGCAAAAGGGTCATTGTTTGCATTTCTATTAAAGTCCAAATTTAGAAAACTTGAAGAAAAGGAAAGTGAGATATCATTTGAGTGTGGTAGTCCTTATCCGTCTTAGGTAAGGAGGACTAAGGAGGCTAAACACCAAAAAATAAAAGATTGGGAAAGCCAAATAAAAGGCTTTGTCTCACTTTGTATCTCGAAAGATATTTTAATTTTTAATTTACATCCTCAAACATTATAAATTTTAATTTGTACCTTCAATGTTTGGATTGGTAACAATATGAAATTTGTTCAAGTGCTTCGGACATGATGATGACGTGTGTTCATCGTTGCAGATTTTCGTCTGCGGTTAATTTGACATGGTTTTATTTATCAAAAATAAGGTTTCGTTAATTAAATAAAGGTTAAGTGTATCATATGCAATTCACATAAGGCGCCAACAGTTTATACATTTATATATAAGCCCATGATCGAAGGACTTTCAATTCACGTGTTTCAATTTATGCCGAAAAATTGATCTGTAGTTTGGGCAAGGTCTACATTGTTACCCATTCATAACATTTAGATTTTTGAATTTTGAACATTCAAATTAAAAATCAAAATATCTTTCAGGGTGCAAAGTGACATTAGCCCCCCATTTTTCAAAACAAAAATTCAGAGGCGGTGAACTTTCAAAAGTCTTTTTAATTGCATTCCATAGCGGCTTGCAGGACCATGATTTAAATTTCATTTTGTTGTATTGTCTCAATCATTTAAAATATGAAAAATAATTCAAAAAGGCTTCAAAAATAATATGAACAAAAAATATCTTGAAACATTTTGAATCACTTCAAAATATAAGAATTTTAATATTTAATTAATAATCTATTTTGGTTTTCGTGAATATCTTAACCGTTTTTAACATGAAATTTTGATATTTGTGTAGAGTTAAACAAGCATGGAAAAATTCATTACTTCTAGTATTTTTTTTTCCTTTTTTTTGTTCAACAAATAGGGGTATCCGAATTATTTTACGCGCACCTCCACTAATTCTCTCTCCGTTCTAGTCAAAGGCAAATCATCATGCTGAAACTAGAATATTCATGAGGGATAATTCTCTCATGACTTGATCCCAAAAAATTATCAAAATTTAAATTCAAGACATTTAACATTTTTCAGAAGTCATTACACAAAGAAGAAAGTAACCGGCCAACAAAAATAGACCGGTATTCGAGTTATGTTCCTAAATAGCACCCAAGTAAGTAGAAATTCAAGATCTGTTGATACCATTTTTCCAATCCTCACCCTGTACAAGAGAGTGTACAGCGGATGGAGATTCCTAGACTCGAACATTTGTTTTCAGGGGTCGCAAGATGAAGAAATTGGAAGTCTATTTGGTTGGGTATTACATGTGTAAAAATCAAACATCGAATACAAAAAATTGAAAGTGTCCTAATATATACTGGGGGGGGGGGGGGGCTCAATACCTAATCGTGGGAAGTTTTTAGTTAAGCATGAGTTCCTACATATATATTGAATTTAGTATCATTGTCTTGTTACTTCGAACTCTTTTAAGGTTTGCTCAATTCTTTCATCCTTTATTTTGGGTGATGGTGACGGTGGGATGACGATGATAATGATAATAAATATAAAAATGAGAGGATGATGATGAATATTTTTAAGTAACCTCCTTCATTGAGGGTATTTTTTATCGAGCGCTCCTTTTATGAACTTTGACTGTAAAAGTGATTAGATTTGGTCTAAAACCTAAAAAATGTCTGAATGTGGACCTATAGTATCTTTTCCCTTTAAAATAACATAACAACCTTTCTACTTTTCTAATTTCCCAAAAAAGGACATTCTACTTTTCTAGAGATCAGGCTTGGACTGATGACTAGTGTTCCTTTGTCCAAATGATACGCTGTGAGTTCGCGTTTGGGAATCCGCCTCTCCAAATTAGAGTAAGGCCATCTATTATGTACCACTTTAGAATCCTACTTTAGATGAGAGTCTTGTGCATTGGTTACGTTTTGGTTCTATTTTGGTTGCAAATTTCCAGCATCTAATAGAATTCTGCAAGTGCAGAACAGGTTGTTTGATTGCGAGTGAAACAAGTAGACTGCATATTATGTTGGCAGAATATTTACTTGAACTTATAACATAGATAAACAAAGGAGATAGTGCCTAAACATGAATCAACTCTAAGCTTGCCCAGGTCCTATACATATTCAAACACAAGTTATTCAGACACATGATAGCATTTTTGTACTATATCCATAACCTTAAAGATGTTCAGGTTGGGCTTTTAGTGGATAAAACAGAGTATTCCATACAACATAGAGAACTCAAGAGACTAGCAACAATATGGAGTTGCAACAGCAATGAGAGGAAGTTTCTTGTGGGCATTCATACCAGTGGATTCAGCCATATCGATATTCTCGCCCCTTTCTCTTCCAGGTAAGGCAAAATCAAACTTACACGCAATTTTAGCTAATGCTAGCTCATTAATGGCTATGGCAAATTGGATACCGGGACATCCCCTCCGGCCAGCGCCAAACGGAATCAACTGGAAGTGAACCCCTTTGAAATCTATAGAACAATTCAAGAACCTCTCTGGACGAAACTCCTCGGGTTCTTCCCACAGTAATGGGTCTCGTCCAATCGCCCAAGCATTGATTATTACTTGTGTGCCTGCTAGGACATCATAACCCAATATTTTGACATCTTCGGTCGATAATCGGGGCATAAGTAATGGAAGTGGAGTATGTAACCGTAGAGTCTCTTTGATAACTGCTTTCAAGTAGTGCATTTTCTCTATATCATCCTCAGTTATTTCTGATTTGTCACTAGCTATTTCCCTCACCTCATTCTGTAATTCCTTCATGACTTTCCGGTGTCTTAGGAGTTCTGTCATGGCCCACTCTAGGACTGTGTAAGTGGTATCAGTTCCTGCAGTAAACATATCCTACAAGGATAAAAGAGATTACATTTTGAAGCCTTTTCTCTGTATCTAGACTATTAATAAAGGAAGAGGGTGGTTGGGGTAAGGGGGGGGGGGGGGATTTTTACAAAGTTTAGAGCTTTAACAGTGTTTTTAAGNGGGGGAGGGGGGGGGGGGGGGTATCTTACAAAGATTAGAGCTTTGACAGTGTCTTTACGAATAGAAAAGCCAGTCATGTTATCTCTTTGAATTCTAAGCAAAATGTCCACGAAGTCCATCTCTTTGCCTTCAACATTCTCACCATAACAAGAAATCACCCCTTTTTCCTGATCCATGTGCTCTTGAAGTATAGTCTCCAGATATTCATCACTCTCTTTTGCAACTCTCTCCACTTTAGCATCCAAACCATTGATACGATTCACCCACCCGAGCCAGGGGATACAGTCCTCCACATTGAAAACATCCAACAATTCCCCAAACTCCTTCAGCAGCACCTTAATCTTCCTCTTTACTTTCCCTCCACTGTACTTCCTCCCTAAGGCAACCCTGCACACCACATCGTTCGTAAGCGACATAAACATGTCGCTTAAATTTATTAATGAAGACGAAACCGACGCCTCTCTGATCTTCTCAATGAAAAGATTTGTCTCTTCTTCTCTCACTTTTCGAAATGACTGAACTCTCTTGTGACTTAGAAGCTGGAGCACTGCAATGCTTTTTACCTGCCTCCAATACTCGCCATAAGGAGCGAATGCTATGTCCTTAAAGTTGTAGAGCAGTCTACTAGGGATGCATGATTTGGGCCTGTTTGAGAAGATCCGATCATGGGTTTTCATGATCTCATGAGCTGCATCAGTAGAAGAGGCGACAAGCACCGGTACACTGCCGAAACGAAGCAGCATGAGAGGACCATGTTGTCGAGCTAATGATTGAAGTGACCGGTGGGGGTATAACCCGAGTTGGTGAAGGTTTCCGATAATTGGGAGCTTAGGGGGAGATGGTGGTAGGTTTCTGTGGGTGGTTGGAGTTGTGGACAACCATTTGAAAAGAAAAGCAATGAGAAATAACAAAGGAAAAATGTAGAAGAACGAGGTTTGCAATAAGAACAGTATAGCTTCTTTCTCCATCTAGTGAGGATCACTTCGGAACACTAAGAGAATGGGCGTTTTAGGGTGGGATCTAAAAGCTCTCCAGAGTGTTGTGGAGCCTTCGGCCGATAGAATTTTCTAAAGACACTGTTCGTTGTATTATGGTTCTGAGTGTTGGCAACGGTAGAAACAAAGTTACATTTGGCAAGAAAGTCTACATACGGCACTAGGAAAATCTTACAAGTGAACCTACGTGGTCCTTGCTTTATTACTTGAGGACAGAATGGTTTTTCATGTTTTGGACACGAAACAACACCGAAAAGAAGACGTTTAGGC